TCCCCGGCGGCGTAGATGTCGGGTATATTGGTGCGGAATGACGAGTCGACCAGGACGCCCCGCCCCGTTTCAATGGGAGTCGTTTTCACCAGGTCCGTGTTGGGAGATACGCCCGGTGTCAGGCCGACCAGCTGGCAGTCGATCCGCTCGTCGAACTCGGTGATGACCGCCTCGACCCGTCCGGAGCCGTCGTCCACGATTTCCTTGAGGTTCGTCTCCGTGATCAGACCGATGCCCTGTTCCTCGATCAACCGGTTTAGCATGCCCGACTCTTCCATGGGCAGGATATTGCACCAGTAGGACTGCTCGCGAATGAGGAACGTGACGTCGATATGACGGGAATGGAGCATCTCGGCCAGTTCGATTCCGATCAGACCGCCGCCGACGATTACGGCCCGCTTTGCCCGTTCCACGTTCTTGTACAACTGCCGCAGGTCCTTCAGGTTGTACAGCCCCTGCACACCCTCGAGATCCTGTCCGGGCCAGCCGAACTTGTTCGACTTGGCGCCCGTGGCGATCAGCAGCCGGTCATAGGGCAGTGGACCGTTCCTGTGCAACACCAGTTGTCTGCTGTCGATATCGATGCCCGTGACCCAGTCCCGTAACAGGTCGAGCCGATGGTCGCGCCAGAAGCGGTCTTCGAAGGGCTTCGTCGCCTCGTAAGTCATGTGACCCATGAAAATGTACATCAGGGCGGGACGGGAGTAGTGGTAGGCCGATTCACCCGAAACCAGCGTAATCTTCCAGTCCGGCTGAAGCTGCCTGAGCCGCGTGGCGGCTGTTACGCCAGTTACGCCGTTCCCAATGATCACCGCATGCAATGGTCCACCTCCTGTAGCGATCCATAAACAACTTTGATCAGCGAACTGCCTCCGTCAGGCCGTTCGCCCGTAAAACAGCTTCTGCACCTCGGGGCTGTTGCAAACATCCGGCTGGTCCTTGAAACAGAAAGCGGCCACGTACCGGGTGACGTCTCCTTTTACCTCGGTAACCCGGTGCATGGAACGGTATCCGACGAAGAGAATCAGCGTACCTGGCTTCGCCTTGAGCGTCCGCACGTCGGGATAGCGGCCCTGCAAGACCTGGTCTACGGTTTCATAGCTGCCACGGTCTTCCGGCCGGACGTTCGGGGCGTACTCGAAAGCGCCGCCCTCTTCAGGCGCCTGCAGCATCAGGGTAGTCGTAACTTCGGCTTCGTCGAAATGCCATCCGTGGTTCTGGCCCTCACGCATGACGTTGACGGTCAACGCCGCAAGGGGATCGGCCATCCTGTAGTATTGCGTCTTGTTCAGCACATCGGCGATGAAGGACAGCAGGGGATCCCAGGTATACAACCGGTGCAGACCGTCCGTGGGGCGGATCTGGTCGAAGGCGATTGAATCCAGTATCGTGGTCTGTGGCCGCCTGCGCGGGTGATCCGGCGGGTATCTGTCGTCGTTCTCATCCATATAGACATTGTGGGTGTCCCTGCAGGAAAAGGCATCGGGCGCGATCCGGTCCGCCTCCGTCACCATGCGTTCCGTTGCTTCTTCCGTGGTGAAGCCATGAAGCAGGCAGGCGCTCTGTTTTGCGAGGTCGTCCCGGCATCGTTCCACCAGTACCCGGTACGCGGCCGATCCGGGTCTGTGCAGCGGGTATTGCTCATGATTTACCAGGTCCAGGGCCATATCGTTCACCGTGCGCTATCCTTTCGTTGATCCAGTCCATTCTTGACTTGCCCTTCCCGAATTAGTACCATGGTCGTTCGCTTTCCGCTACCATACGGCCGCCCTCGGCGGCGTCCATGTCCGGCCACGTCCACCTGGCTGAACGACCCCTGCTTTCAATATATGGCAATACCCTCAAATCAAAAAGAAAAGACTGATCTGGTTCGCCAACTGGGCCTTTTCGACACGACGATGATCATCGTCGGCATCGTTATCGGATCGGGGATTTTCCTCACGACCGGCCTGATGGCCAGGGGCATACCGTCCGCGTCCCTCATTCTCCTCGCCTGGCTGATCGGCGGCCTGCATGCCCTTTTCGGCGCGCTGGCCTACGCCGAACTCGGGGCCGCCATGCCCAGGGCCGGGGGTCAGTACGTGTACCTCAGGGAAGCCTATGGTCCGTTTTGCGGGTTTCTCTTCGGTTGGGTGACTTTCATGATGTACCTTTCCGGTATCATCGCCGCGCTTGGCGTGGGATTCGCCGAATACTTCGGGTACTTCATCCCTTCGCTCGGTATGGCCAACGTGTTTTTCGAAACCGAAGTCGACTTTCCCGGCTGGACCTTCCATTATAGCCTGTCGGCCGGCCACGTTACCGCACTCACCCTGATCATATTCCTGACGGTGGTAAACTACCGCGGAGTCACTTTCAGCAAGTACATCACCAACGTATCCTCGGTGATCAAGATCGCCGCGCTTGGCATTTTCATCCTATTGGGCATCTGGGGAGCGAACACACAGCCGATCGACTTTCGGATCAACGCGCAGGGCATAGACTTCGGGCAACTGGTTGTCGCCTTCGGCGTCGCGATGATCGCGGTATCATGGACCTTTGCCGGCTGGGAGGAGGTTACCTTCGTCGCCGGCGAGGTAAAGGAGCCGTCACGTAACCTGCCGCGGGCCCTGATCATGGGCACCGCAAGTGTTACCGTGATCTACTTTCTGGTAAACTTGATCTACCTGAGGGCGTTGCCTGTCGACGAGATGGCCGGAGTCGTTCGTGTCGGAGAGGCCGCCGCCAATGTCCTCTTCGGTGAAACGGGCGCCGTGCTGCTGTCGGCCGCAGTCATCGTGTCCATCGTCGGCGCGCTGAACAGCAGCGTACTGGTTGGGCCCCGGGTCTATTTCGCCATGGCGAGGGACAGGCTGTTCTTCAAACGGGCAGCCGCTGTCCATCCCAGGTACCGCACACCGGGCCAGGCTGTCATACTGCAGGCTATCTGGGCCTGTGTGCTAACGCTCAGCGGTACGTTCGAAAACCTGATTACCTTTGTGACCTTCGCCAATCTTATGCTTTGGATCGCAGGCGCGGCCGCGGTTTTCACACTGAGAAAGAAACTGCCTCACATGCCCAGGCCCTACAAAGCCTGGGGCTACCCCCTCGTTCCGCTGCTGTTCATTGCCGGATCCGCCGGCATTCTTGTCAACATGCTGTTCGAGACGCCTGGAGAATCCTTCGCGGGACTCGCCCTGACCGCCCTGGGAATCCCTGCCTATTACTTCATGCGAAGACAATCCAAAATCAGCGGCGAACGCGACTGATTTCAACATCAGCCATCGCAGTAGAGTACAACCCCTCCGTCCGGGAACATGCGCGAAGCGGGGATGGCTCAGGGTATGTAAACCAGTCCGCCACCGGGACCGAGGGGAATGCCCAGCGCCATCCAGACCACGAGGATCAGCGTCCATACAACGGTGAAAACCACGGTGTAGGGAAGCATCGTGGAGATCAACGTACCCATGCCCCCCTTCGGTACGTACTGTCGCATGAATACCAGGATGATCACCAGGTAGGGATTCAGGGGTGTGATGGTGTTGCTGACGGAATCGCCGATCCGGTATGCCGCCTGCGTCAGTTCGGGGCTGATGCCCACCATCATGAACATGGGTATGAATATCGGTGCGAACAGCGCGTACTTGGCCGACATGGAACCGATCAGCAGGTTGAACACCAGGGTGACGAGAATAAAGGCGATCATCAACATCCAGGAAGGCATCTGTACCTGACCCAAAGCCTGTCCGCCAGCCATCGCCAGCATCTGGCCGAGACCCGAGTACTGGAAGTACGCGATGAACTGGGCGGCGAAGAAGGCCAGGACGATGATCGGCGCCATGGTGGACATGGTTTCGATGAGGAGCCGGGCCCCATCCTTGTCGTTCTTAATGGAGCCTACCGAAATACCGTACACGATGCCGGGCAGAATAAAGCAGAAAAGCAACAGGGGTACGATTGCTTCCACCCACCGGTCAAACAACGCCCCAGTCCCGTGCAACGGCGCGCCGGGCCACAGAATCATGAATACGATCAGGAGGAATACCGTAGTGAACGCCAGTAATGCCCGCCAAAGTCCCCGTTTTTCTTCGGAGGCAAGTGCGTGTTCGTCCGGATTCGGTGCCGATGTCGACACGGGCGCGGGTCCACCATCCTCCGGGGACTTACCCGCCAGGCGGCGCTCGACGAACCAGGCCGTAACGACCCAACCCACGAGCGTCATGACCACGGTGGACACGATCATGAAATACCAGTTGCAGGTGGCGGCGACCTGGTAGGCCGCATCGATCGTCTGCGCCCCGGCCGTGGAAAGCCCCGCCAGCAGAGGATCCAGGCCGGTCACGAAGAGATTGGCGTTGAAGCCCGCCGAAACTCCCGCGAATACGGCGGCGAGTCCGGCCAGTGGAGCCCGGCCAACAGCCTTGTACAGTGCAGCCGCAAGGGGCGGTAGAATCACATACCCGGCGTCGAGCGTCATGGACGACATGATGCCGATAAAGACCATGGCCGGAGTCAACAGCCTGCCAGGCACCGCCAGCATGAACGCCTTGAGCAGGGCACCGATCATGCCTGTCCGCTCAGCTACGCCGATTCCCAGCATCCCCACCAGGACGACGCCGAGCGGCGGAAACTTCATGAAATTGTCAACCATGTTACCGATCACCCAGAATAGACCGTCGCTCGAGAGCAGGCTGGTGGACGTGAAGGCCTTCCCGGTCTCGCGCCACTCCACGCCCGTCGATCCGTCCTCGCGGACCACCTGTTCCGGAAGCTGCTGGACTACGGTCCACTCTCCACGGGCCGCGATATCGGACAGCACGACGACAAACAGCGCGCCGATCAAAAAGAGCGTTATAGGATCCGGCAGGCGATTCCCGACCCGCTCGATGACATCGAGAAATCCGCTTGTCTGCGCTACCCCTGTACCGGATGTTTGATGCTGGTTATCGTTCGTCATGGCATGTCCACCATGGGTGGTTTAGGCGCACAGCACGCCGCAGTAGTGGCGTCCTGGCAGAAAATCAACTCGGAGTACGCCGCTGCAACAGGTCGTCCAGGGCAGACTTCAGATCGGGATGCCGGTATGCGAATTCCGCTTCCAGCAAGCGTTCGGGGCGGACCCGTGAGCTCGCCAGCAACAGGTCTCTTCCCATCTCGCCAAACGCCAGTTGGACCAGGAAGGAGGGTACCGTAAAGGAAGTCGGGCGCTTCAACACCATGCCTAGAATCCGGGTGAATTCGGCGTTGGTAACGGGTTGGGGAGAAACCGCGTTGACAGGACCTGCCAGGTCTTCGGTTTCCAGGGCGAATCGGATGATGGCGGTCAAGTCTTCCCGGGAAATCCAGCTCATGTACTGGCGGCCGTCTCCGATCCTGCCGCCCAGTCCCAGCCTGAAGGGCGTGTACATGCGGGCTAGCGCGCCGCCCTCCGGGGTAAGCACTACGCCAATGCGTAGATTCACGACCCGGATCCCGGCCTGGTGGGCAGGCCCGGTTGCCGCTTCCCACTGCCTGCATACCCGGGGAAGATATCCGTCCCCCGATAGAGACTCCTCCCCGAGCAACTCCTCGCCGCGGTCGCCGTAAAAACCGATTGCAGACGCGGCCACAAGGGTTGCGGGCGGGCTTTCCAGTGTAGCCAGGAACTCACACAGCTTGCGTGTCGTGTCGACGCGGCTATCACGGATTCGCGCTTTCTTGGCCGGAGTCCATCTTCCCATGATCGACTCGCCCGCCAAATGCACGACAGCGTCTATCCCGTCGGGATCTTCCCAGTGAAACCGGCCAGCCGCGGTGGACCAGAAGATCGCCTTCTCGCCGATCCTGTCCCTCGATCGAACCAGACGAACGACACGATGGCCCAGCGACTCGAGAAATGGGATCAACCGGCGGCCGATCAGCCCTGATCCACCTGTTACAAGAATGATCATGATTTGCGAAAGTTAAAACTGATACAAGGAAGTGTCAAGGCCGGGACACGGTGTCTCGGTTCGCCCATTCTTTTCTCAATTGACTCGTTCTGAAGAATCCCTTAGCATCCCCGGAGCGGCCACCGATTATTCACATGCGGCCTCATCGCCACTTTCCGGCTGATCATCACGAACCAGCTCATATTCTACTCGATGTTCTTCTTTAACTGGATCACGGAAACCACTCAGGCAGAGCCACTTAGGTACTTCATTGATGAACAGAGATCCGGCCCCTACCGATTGTGGCACCACGAGCATCGGCTGCGATCCGTGGAGGGTGGGGTGGAAATGGAAGACCTCGTCCATTATGCCTTGCCATTTGGACTGCTGGGCCGTATGGTACATGCTACGATGGTAAAAACCAACTGAGCTACCTATTCGACTACCGCCGTGATGTGCTGGCGGAAAGATTCGGCCGCCCCATCTGTTGAGACGCCGTTGCACCTGGCATCGGTTCAAGCCGCATACTCCCCGTAAATCATCACAACCATGACTGACCTCATTATCGTACTGCTGTTGGTCGCGTTTAACGGCTTTTTCGTAGCGGCGGAATTCGCCCTCGTCAAAGTACGATTGTCCGAGATCGAGGTACTGGCGAAGGATGGCGGCAGAACCGCGCAGATCGTCCGGAATATCCTGCTCAGCATGGATACCTACCTGTCCTCGTGTCAACTGGGCGTCACCCTCGGAAGCCTGGGCCTCGGTTGGTTCGGCGAACGGACGATGGCCGCGCTGCTGGAACCGGTCGTGCTTTCCCTGGGTTTCGCGCCGGAGACCGCCCATCTTATCTCGATTCCCGTCGCCTTTGCGGTCATGACCTTCCTGCTCATTACGGCCGGAGAGCTGGTCCCCAAGTTTGTGGCACTGCAGAAGTACCGGCAGGTGATCCTGGCAGTCGGGATTCCGCTGGTCGTATTCTCCAGGATTTTTCGGCCCTTTATCTGGTTACTGAATGTCAGCGCCAACCTCATGTTGAGGTGCGTGGGCATCCGAATTAACAACGAGCATGGCGCGTCTTTTACGGAGTCGGAATTGCGGCTGACCCTGGTCAGCATGGCGGCGGGTGGGCACGTTACTCGGCGGGAACGACTGATCATGGAAAACGTACTCGACCTGGAAGAAAAAGTCGCCCGCCGGTACATGCTTCCCCGTAACCAGATCGTGTACTTGAACCAGAACGACGCAAAGGAAGTTAAACTGCGCATCGTAGCCGAGTCGAGGCATACGCGCTTCCCGCTATGTGACGAGGACCTGGACCATATCATCGGGATCATTCACGTCAAGGACCTGTACAAAAGCCTATTCGACGAACTGGAGTCCTCCGACCTGGAGACGATCGCCCGGGATCCTCTGTTCCTCCCCGAGACCATCCGGCTGGACGCCCTCCTTCGCGAATTCCAACGGCGCAATACCGTGCTGGCTGTGCTGGTTGACGAACATGGCACCGTCTCGGGGATGATTACGCTGGAGAACGTGCTCGAGGAACTCGTCGGTCCCATCCAGGATGAATTCGACAGTGAGGCACCTCTAATCGTGCGTACAGGCACCCATCGATTCGTTGTCGAGGCAAGTTGTCCCGCTGACCAGGTCATTACCGCATGCGGCCTGGAATTGCCCGAAGATTTGACCTCCGATACGACGGGCGGTGTTATGATAGAATTGCTGGGTCATATACCCAAGCAGGGGGAACAGGTAAGGGCCGGCGCACATATTATGACGGCCCTGCGCGTGGAGACGACGCGCATCCAAAGGCTCAGGATCGATCGTGTTACGGGAGAGAAGGACGAGAAAACCGGTGACGATTGAGACGCGAAATCGTCCTCACGTGGCGCGCGTCAGCCCGAGAACTGCGATTAAGCTTCCTGTCCCAGGAGCGCAGGAGCGGAAGCTTCATCGAGCTTCCGGCGAATCTCGGCAGGTAGCGTCCAGCCCACCCCGCCACAGACTTCTTCCACGTGTTCCGGCAGGTCCGGACCTGTCATGGCGGACGTTATCTCGGGATGGTCCAGTATCCAGGCGAAGGCGACCTGGGCCGGTGTTTTGCCCAGTTCTCCGGCAACGTCGATCAACAGGGCAATCAGTTGGTCGACTCCTTCCGTCATGATACGACGGTACCGTTCGATGTCCTTCCCCCACAGCGATTCACGGGGCGGATCTACCCCACGCCGGAAACGCCCGGTCAGCAGGCCGACCGCCACCGGACTGTAGGTCATCATCCCCAGGCCGTGCTGTCGGCAACGGTCCAGCAGTTCCGCCTCCACGCCGGATCGATGCATCAGGTTGTAATGGTTCTGGAGGCAAACCGGCGTCGCGAACCCGTGTTTGTCGGCCACCCAAAGGGCCTCGACAACCTGCGCGGCCGTATAATTGCACATGCCGATATAGCGTGCCTTGCCCTGCCTGACCACGTCGTTCATGGCGTCCAGCGTTTCGTCCAGTGGCGTGACCTGATCGAAGTGATGGAGCAGATATAGATCGATGTGGTCCAGCCTCAGGCGTTTCAGCGACCGGTCGATTTCGCGCATGATATGATACCGGGAAGTGCCCTTGTCATTCGGCCCCGAACCGATTTCACTCCAGACCTTGCTGGTGATCACCAGGTTGTCACGCTTGTCCTTAATCCCCGACAGTGCCTTCCCCAGCACTTCCTCGCACCTGCCGCCGAAGTAGAAGTTGGCGCAGTCTATGAAGTTTATACCTAGATCCACGGCCGTTTCGATGACACGTATACAGGTCTTCTCGTCCGTCAGCCCAGCCCAGAAGCCCCTGAACGCCGTACCGAGGCAGATGGGTGACACCTGTACGCCGTAGCGTCCCAGTTGGCGGTATTCCATGCCGTCCCTCCAGGTGATTCCGAATCAATCAGGTCAGTGATGCGTTCATGCTGCGTTCATGTACCTGCGCAGGCGCGCATTGAGGACCTCTACGCCCACCGAAAAGGCTATGGCGATATAAAGGAATTCGTTTGCGAAAATGAACACCGAACAGATCCAGTGCGAACTTCAGGGCAATCAGCGCGAGGACACCGATTGCCAGCGTCTTAATTCGGTGGCTGCGGCGACGCAGGTTCAGGAACTCCACGATCACGGTAAAGGCGATTGCGGTATACAGAAACGCCTTCTCCACATGTATATCGATGCCTTCCAACATGAGCGCGATTCCAATCAACACCAGGAAACTCAGGGCGAGCATCTTGACGCTGGGATGGGCGTCGACGAATTCCCCTATCGTCCGGGCGGCCAGCATCATGACCAGGATGGCGATAATGATCGCCAGAACCATCACGGGCAGGTAGTCCGCGGCCATACCGACCGCGACAATGACGGAATCCAGCGAGAAAATGATGTCCATCAGGGCGATCTGTGTCAGGATGCCGGCATAGGAACTCGCGCGAAAGGTGTGCTCCGGTTGCGTGTGTTCATGGAACATGTGGCGGATTTCGTGCACGGCTTTGACGAGCAGGAACAGACCGCCGACCAGCATGATGATATCCCGACCCGAGATGTCCTCGCCAAGCACAGTGAACAGCGGGTGGGTGAGGCGGGCGATCCAGGTCAGCGTGAACAACAGGGCAGAGCCGCGTGACCATGGCCAGCGCAAGGCCGTATATGCGGGCTCGTTGCCTGCGGTGGACCTCAAGGCGGCCCACCAGTATCGTGATGATGACGATGTTGTCTATGCCTAGAACGATTTCGACGCTCGCGAGGGTCGCGAGGAGGATCCAGGCCTCGGGCTCGTAAATCCAGGATAGCATGTTCGAAGCGCCGCCTTGAATCGCGTAAACAGGGATACGGACAAAAGCTATTTAATATATCGGAATGCTGATAAATGGAAAGCACAAACTCGTTCATTCAGCCTTGTGACCCGGTAGTCTCTTCGTATCACTACGACCAGCGGCAATCCCGCTCAATCTGACGTTTCTTGACCGGCATTGCCGGCTGCTGAACCCATTTCAAGCCGGTACATGACCGCCAAATCCGCTTGACAGGACCGGGTCTTCTCGTGTTTATGACATAGTTTCCATTCCTCCATCCCTGTCGCTGCCATCAAAGGTCCATCCGGTCATGAATGCCAACGGTTCGAGCCCCTCGACTCCCATCGGTCTCATAGACTGCGACCTGCACCACGGGGTCGAGAAAAACGAAGATCTCTTCCCGTATCTTCCCGGTCATTACGTGGAGTACATTCAGGATTTCGGAACCATGATGCCCGGGGTTGGATACACCAATCTTCCGAAAGGTGGTTGCCGGGCGGAATTGTGGGAACACACCGAGACCCACCCCAGCAGCAACATCGACCTGGCTCGGAATCACCATCTCGATGAGTACGGCATCGATGTAGCCCTGTTGACGGGCGTGACCGTATACGGCGCGGCGGTGCATCCGAACGCGGATTACGGCGCCGCCATGTGCCGGGCATTCAACGACTGGACCCTGGAAACCTGGATCAAGGCGGACGGCCGGTTCCGCGCGTCGGTGGCCGTAGCGCCGACGGATCCCAATCAGGCGGCGGCGGAAATTCGACGTATCGGCGACCGTCCCGAAGTACTGCAGGTCATTATGCCCGCCGGCGGACGCATGCCCTTCGGAAATCGGTTCTACGATCCTATCTACGAAGCCGCGCAGGAATGCAGGCTTCCCGTGTGCGTACATTTCGGCGCCGAAGGCGCGGGCGTCGCCAAC